TGTGTGTGTGTGTGTGTGTGTGTGTGTGTGTGTGTGTGTGTGTGTGTACAGTTGGTATCAATTCCCGATATATCATCATCAATAGAGATTCGATGTGATTTTCTATCGCTTTTAAATCAACAATGCGCGAACGTTATCTTGTTCACTTTTATTTGGAGAGAAGATAATATGGTTGAAATGCAAAGAATGTGCACAAAGAAATCTGCGTGCAAGTCACAGACTGTAAACATATGAATGTTATCGATAAACATATATATGAAAAAGAAGAAATGGGTTTGAGAGTACGCGCACGGCACGCGTATACCACACACAAACAATAGTGCTGCAACGCAATTGTTGCTGTTGTTGGCCTTTCAGTTGCTTCTCTTCTGTTTCTGCTCTATTCATTGGGTTCGGTAAAACCCCATTATATCATTTTCTCCTGATATTGAAAAGAAAGTTTTTTTTTGTTTCACCTATTCGGTTGAGCATTCGATGATCGTATTGGTCTTGAGCAAAAGGTTTGAATTTTGTTTCTTTTTTTCCCGAATGATACTAGATCGATCGAATGCATATGTTTGAATCGAGATATACATAAACTATAGAGTATTTCTTTTTCTCTATGCATTTTTACCAAATCATTTTCTCTCTCTCTCTCTCTTTCTCTTTCTATTTGGCTTGTCTATTCAAAATAATGCACTTGGCGAAATGACCAATGCATAGAAACGAAAATACCCTGTGAGCTAGCACGCTACACGATCGTACGATTACAACGCACATAAATTTATTCCATTCAAATCGTTGCCCAATCATACAATTATTCGATGGGTTTTATGCAAAAATAAACGGAGTTTCGCATTCAGGAATTCAATTCATTCATAGGCATCCGCATACAAATTTGTACAAGCTTGAATGGCATGAACAGAGCCGTTATGGTGCTGATACCATCGAGTGAATTGTGATTATCAGCGAAATGAATATCGCGAAAAAAGTTATTTTTTGGGGAAAGTTCGGTTTAACATCGATTGCAGTTCAAGACGACTGATTCGTGCTGTAACTCAGCATGGGTAATACGGTACCTATGGTAGCGACAGAAACAGTAAATAAAATAATGACAAAAAAGCCATTTGAGCCATTGAACAAGGTAGTTCATAAAAGAAAGGAGTAAATTATTCTCGAATGTGTGTTGAGTTGGTGTTGATTGTAATGCATCGGACTCAATCCTAATTACCTAGCCAATGGTCCGACGTGCCAAGTCATTAAAACCCATTAAGAGTCCATATGCTACTAATTAGTTAAGTCTACATGAATGATCTGATTGCATTGACATGCAATGACAATGGATTTCAACACGAAACTGATTCCGATAAAAAGAAATCAAATTCTTGGAATTTTTTTTGCTCCTGTCTTTCAGCCACAATTTATCAGCAAATAATTGTATTTACTTTTGATTAATCAAATAGATTGCATTGGCAAATATCAAATGGAATCAGATTTCATTTCAAAGCAAAAACAAATGACCTTTACTTACCGCCAGCCAATAAATTTCGTATGACAAAATTAAAATTTGTCTTTGTGGTTTCTTGCGTTAATGCCATTGTTGTAATTTCACACAGTATAACGTCAAAAATGAATGGATCAAAACGAATAAATCAACGGAAAAAAACGACTCAGCGCAAGGAAAACACACACTCGATAAAAGAAAAAAAAAATAACGACTTTTTTTTGTAACGTTTGATTGTGTCAACAGTTCATCGCTTCAATTCGGCTGAATATTTCAAAGTAACTCTAATTAACGAAAAGGTGTATTCTTCACGATTCCAATTATTACTTGTTCAACGTTTAATTTTATTTTGTTTATTCTATGGCTATTTAATGCATCATATAGTTTTAAATAAAGATGAACGCACCGAAAATAATGCGATTTACAACAACAATCAACATCGAACGAGATTCAGAGGAAGCGAAAAAAAAATGAAGAAAAAAAACTTTCACTTTTTCTGGCACATACAATTTTGGTTTAAGACGGTATTTCTTTAGTACACCTCACAATGAATACATTTCGTTTAAAAGAAAGCTATGATTTATCATTTCACCGTATGAAATTCGATTGGTTTAATGCTAATTTTTTACTGCAATAGTTTTAACTGAATTCTTGCGGCTTTGGTTGCTTTTTTTAAATGTTCTTCTTTAAATTGTCAAAATAAAAAAAAAAACACGCACAAAAAAAAACATTCAATGCAATGAACAACGAAACGTATCGATCCTGTGAAATCAAATTGGAAAATTTATCAAATTGGACACGAAACAGACGAAGAACACACCGAACAAGACCATCCAAAACAAATTAATGTCAACTGAAGAAGAAGAGAAAAAAAAAATATTGCTGGATGTTACGAGCAATCAACACAAACTGCTTGACCATACTACGATGGGCTTGAATGAGCTGAGACTTGTTGCGATGTCAAAATCAAAACAGCAACACCGATTTCATAGCACAGTCTACATGGATAGTAACACCACGAATAGTACAGGTTGCACACGTATGTGTATGTTATGTATGTGCGCTCTCAAGTATTTGAACAAGTTGAACGGTATGGACGCTTAGTACCCAAAGATGGCGTTAATGGCCAATATTCATATGAATTTTTTCAACGCTTACTTTGATTATGCTGCAAAACATTCAATTTTTATTCAAATCCAGCCGATTCAATTATCGTCGCCATAATAATGAAGAGGATATACTATTTAATTGTATTTATGTATGCAATTAAAAAAAATTCCACAAATTCTATTCAAATAAACCATACATTTTAATTATACGTTTCTTATAAGTATGAGATATTATTTGGTTCAGAACATTCTTTTTGGAACTTGTTTAAAAAGCTACGTCCATATTCAAAAAAAAAATGGAGAAAAAAATATTGAAAGAATTTAACTCATTATTGATGCATACAATCACGATGATAATCAATAGTTTAATTCCTTTCTTAAGTCCAGCATTGATTTATCTTTGAGGTCAGTTGGAGCTGCTTTTCGGTATGGCAATGTCCGGCGGCGTTCTTGTTTGTTGGGGCCATTGTTGAGCCGTTTCAACGAAACAGAGTGGCGTTGTGATGCTTTGATTATTTGTGCCGGAGTCAGTCGATCGATCACCACTCGAACCACAGGAATATCTGGCTTCTGTGTCAATGGATTGACTTTTACCGATGCGATGTTGGATGATTTGCGATTCGATTGCGCCTTCGGTGAGTTGGGTCGTTGAACATTGAACGTTGGCACCTTTCGCAATCTCAAATAGTCCAACAAATCATCGGCACTGTTGCTTTTGCCCGATTCACCTGATGTGTTCAGTCGGTCGGTCGTGTCTTCTGTTGCGTCGATTGTGTTTGGCCGTTGCTTGGTCGCATTTTCATTGGCATTTTGTTCTGCCTGGCGTAAAATTGATTTCGATCCATTTTTGGTGGTCGCTGTTTTTCGTTTGTTTGTTGTCGAACCCGTTTCGGAAAGTGCTTTGTCATTTTTCGGCGGTTCGTTTGCGTTGATATCAATATTAATGAATGGAGCCGTCATATTATGGATTTGTACCATAATATTTTTCATTGCTCGATTCTCTTCCAACAGTTCACTTTTTGTAACGCGCGACATTTTTGATCAACAAAATTTTTGATTGCTTGTTTTTTCGATTTAATTTGTATACGGGTGGCAACACAGCTCTTGCTTCGTCTTTCTCGATATTCGACTCTGAAATAAAATTCGTTGTGAACAGTTGTGATGCGAGAGCGTCAAAAACACACAGATTTGTTCGATTCCGTTAGGTTTCGCTTGCAATGCTTATGTGTGTGCTGAATGTTCAAATGCGCATTAAAAGCGCGGCAAAGTACGTTGCCGCTTATGATTGTATGGAATTTGCAGTGTGGCCGTGCAGAGTTCAAATCGTGTCGGCGCTGACAACACTAAAAAAAGAGTTCCGAAATATCCATGACAGTCGACAACATAGTCGGTGTATGCGCGTGTATATGCGTGTGTGTGCGTGTGTTTTGCGATGCCGATTGCCTGCGTTACAATAGCCAGCCCTCAATACGTACATAGACAACACGCGGCGAATTGTGCAAATGGCCACATGGTACCACACGATACACAAGACATTTTACGGCTGACATTTCACAGGAAATAGAAAAAATGTCGACCATTTTTACTTGTATTGGTTTTTTCTGTACTGTGTATGCCATACGAAAGGTTCGAATGATTGGGATGAAACAGCGAATAATATACTGAAGCGCCATCATCAGAAAGATCTTCTTGGTGCGACAACCATTTCAATCACATGTGAGTAGCTTAATCATCTCTGAAAAAATTCCATTTTTTCAATTTAATTCTAAGCTAAATTACTAAATTGTGTAGATAAAAAATTGTGTTGCCAACAAATCAACAACAAATCGATTGCTGTAATTATCCATTGTGTTTTATCCGTAAAATTTCCGAAAAATTAAACATTATTTTTCCATTTTCCTGTTCTTCTTCTGTTCGTGTGAACAACTGTTCGGTTCGTACTGCATGGAATTTGTTCAATTGGTTAAAAATGCGGTGTGAAGGAACTTCATTTCCAATTCGATGTATTCGCATGGCCAAAGGCCAAAAAAAGAACAAAACACCACATTTGAGTTGAATGCAGAATATTCGGCATTATTTATTGCGAATCGACGAAAAGCAACAAAAATTAATAATAATAATAAGTGACTCGAATATAGATCGTTTTTGGTTACCTTAGACATTTTTCTCTCTCTCTCTCTCTCTCTTTCTCGCTCTCTCTGAGAAGGCGTTCAGGGAATTAGGAACACAGAAGAGGAACAAAATTCAAAAAAAAAAAAAAAATAGAAAAAAAACAACACGGAAATCCTTTTTTATCAAGTAACTAATTAATGGCTCGCCTGCGAAAAAATGCCGAAAAACAGTTAATTTGCATTTCTGATGACGACTAAACCCATTCCAATTTGTGATTTTGCTCATCTCCGTATAAAAAAATGGAACGTTTCACAATCTGTATCGTATATGTCATCGCCTTAAATTGCTAACAAAGAAAAATATTAATAATTACATTAACACCAGCTTTGGTCAGTGTTCGGCCACTTCAAAATGCATCCCAATCATTTCGATGCATTCGATTTTCAATATTTCCACTTTAAAACGTTTCTTCAACGAAACGAAAATGAAACGGGATAGAGGTGTCGTTATGGTTAGAAATTTATTGGCGGAAAATCATTGTCCAAACATTGTAAATGTGGTCGTTTTAGTCGCATAAAATTAAGTGTGTGTCATCCTTCTTCGATCGAGCGAAAACGTGAAATGTGTGTGCGTTTCAATATGTTTGTATGAATATTTTTCTTCTGTTAATATTGTTGATTCGCTGCTGCTATTTTGTCAGTCGGCCGTTCTATTGGCCAGTATATTCGCTGTGTGCTTTGCTCGATGTTTTTTTTTCTTGCTGCTGCTTTTCGTCTTCGGTTCCAACCGTTTTGCATTTTTACGGTGTGTTCACAATACTTTCGGACACATAAAATTCATCGAGTAGTATAGTTTTTGTTCAAATAACAACAGCTATAATGGTAAAAAAGGCAGTAGCAAAAGTACAACAACAACAATGTTAGCAGCGAAATCACAGCTTAACAAATTCAATGACTGAACCCATTTTGTTTGTATTGGTTTGCGTTCCGGCGTGCCTGTGGTTTCTTGTACACGACGAAATGTATATATATACACAGAGTATGTTAGCATAGATGAATGTGCATAGGTATGGCACTCACAGTATGACCTAAACACGTTTCCTTTGCTTCTTTCGTTTCGTTTGTCATCATCATCATCATTTTTATTTTCTTTTTGTTTGCGTAAAAGTATTGGCGAACGTCGGAAATTAAAACGAAACAAAGACAAATCTAATCAATTTTGGTCGCAAATCTCTAATGGTCATCACTTGTGTCACTTGTCATTCCAACCCCGAATGATCTAATTTTTATTGCACAAATATTCTTATTTCTTGAGATTTGAAATTTTTATTGCAATTTTCGCCGCTTATAGTTCAGTGCTCATTGTGTGTGTGTGTGTGTATATTTCTTAATTCCAACCAACAATCGCGCCATATATACCAATACACGGGCAAGTTGTAGCAAAATACGTTGAAAATCTCATTCGACATTCGTGTGTACGGCGGCGGTGACGGCAGCAGCAGGAGCAGCTATGCGACCGAAGAAAAAAAAACACGAATTGAAATGAAATGAAACGCACATTTTAGTGTTGCTGCTGTGTGTCTTGAAGTGTATACGTGCACCAACACTGTTTTCAACTTGAATTTTTGCTGACGTAGTGAATCTGTCTCTGTTTCGACAGAGAGCCACTCCATAAGAGGCGAACACAATATGTTATTTTAAATCAATCTTGTCAAAGTGATAACTTCGATTCAACATTTTTTTTCAGCAATCGGTAAATTTTTTGTGCAATTTCCTTGAAAATTCCATCAAATTGCTATATTTGGTGCTAATCTTGGGCTTCTCATTTTGTTGACATTTTTTCGTGGATCGAATATCGCGTTGAGTGCACAACAAGTAATGTTTTGTTGTAGGCAACAATAATTTGTTGTTTTTTTGACATTGTAAAAGTGTAGGAAAATCGTTTAGTAGAATACCCAGTTGAAGAACAAGGGCAAGTAGCGAACATTTAACATTTTATGCCATTGTCGGTGGCAAATATTCACGACAGAAAACCAAATTCACGATTTTTCCCGAATAATATGCCGCATTTTTGCAATTGGTTTTCCAAACATAAATCAAATTAATTGCATTTAGTTGACTAGAGTTGCGCCGTTCTGTGTGTCGAATGAAAGGGGACAATTTATTTCCATTTGCACGTTGAGTGTCTGTGTACGAATGGGGGTACCTACTTCCTCACCATTTTTCTGTTTTCTGTGCTCGATTCGAAGAGTGAATCATGCATTATTGATCACAAAAGTAATCCATGTTTTAATCGTCAATGCGAATGCATCTTACCCCACTTTTATTAAGCCGGCTGCTTTAATTGTTATATCCGTATTAAAGCAGTGTGCTTCGGGTGGGAACATTAATTCTGATTGTGTGTATGGAATAAAACGCATCCCATGATTTATTTCAAAGAATATTATCAGAAACACAATAACTCAAAAAGCACCAAATTGTTTGTCTAAGCCTTTCGAGAAAAAAAAAATCACCGGTTCATACTTCCGTTTTACTAACTGTTTATTTCTCTCTCTCCCTCTTCTTCCGCATTACAGATTTGGAACTACCGCCCCAACGTCTGCTTTTTTTGCAAAAGTCGTTATTTCTATTTTTTGTTGAACTTACCAGTTACAGTTTAAATTCATCACTATGGCCGATTTAGATGACGCACATTTCGAAACTGGTGACTCCGGTGCATCAGCCACCTTCCCAATGCAATGTTCTGCTTTGCGTAAAAACGGTTTCGTCATGTTGAAATCGCGTCCATGCAAAATTGTAGAAATGTCAACATCAAAAACCGGAAAACACGGACACGCCAAAGTCCATATGGTCGGCATTGACATCTTCAACGGCAAAAAGTAAGTATGAACACATGCAACAACACTGAACGCAATGAATTAAATAGAAAATTGTTTTATTGTAATTGGAAATTGAGATTATATCGTTATTAATGATGCGTTTTTGTGCGTGTGTGATCATTTTTCCCCTATAGATACGAAGATATCTGTCCATCAACCCACAACATGGACGTCCCACACGTCAAACGTGAAGACTACCAATTGACTGACATCAGCGATGACGGATACTTGACTTTGATGACCGACGGTGGTGATCTTCGTGAAGATCTTAAGATTCCAGATGGTGATTTGGGCAACACTCTACGTTCCGAATACGATAGTGGCAAAGAATTGTTGGTATGTATCATCATGTTCATTCAACCCGACTCATTTCTGTTTTGTTCCTGGCTGTTTCTTCATTTCCCCCCCTTCCTCCCGGCCGTTGCAATTTTCATTAATCCAAATTTGGTTTTCATTTTCATTCCATGTTCTCATCACTACAGTGCACCGTACTCAAGTCGTGTGGAGAGGAATGTGTTATTGCTGTTAAAACAAACACTGCTCTAGACAAATAAAACAGAGCTTTCAATTTCAAGCCTCGTCCCGCCACAATAAATAAATTTATAACAACAAGAAATTTATTAAAAACAATAAAAACACAATTCAATAAAATTTATTGCATACCAATACACAACAAAACAACACCATGTTCTTATATTATTAAATGATGAAACAAACAAAAAACAAAAACACACAATTCATTGAGTCAGCAATATTTAAAAAATAATGAATGTTAAATGTATATGCGCTAATGCGTACAAAGAAAGCAAAAAAAAAGAGAGAAGAATTGAATAGTCGAGCAGAAAGAGTTCGAGTTCATCAAAAGAAACATTTTCGAAGAAAAAAAAAGTTTAACACATAACAAAGAAAAACAAAATCTAAGATAAATAGCTCATTGAACTCTTTTTGGACATAATATTGAAATCCGAAGGAAAAAACCAACCGAGAAACGTTAGAGAAATCATCAGGACAGTTTCTCATCGTTAATTTGGCATATGCATAACCGCATTTATAAGTTGATTGGGAAAATATGGCTAAAAAAATGCAAAAAAAAAGATTAAAAAAACACACACATAAACAATTCTAACCATTTCATTCAAGGAGATGACCAAAATGATACTATAAACATTAAAAAAAAAAACAAAAAAAACAAAATTTGTTAAACAAAGAACCATGAAAATCCTCGGAGCACGAGGAATTTCCACATTTTTTTTTTCTTTTCAATTCTAACAAATGGTTTTCATCGAAATTCAGTTCACTTGCATTTAGCTCTAAAATGCATTCTTCATGGATATTGTCCTGTTGAATTGGAGAATCATTGCTAGAGCTGATGATTGTTTTTCTTTCTGAATTTCGTCAAAGTCATGAATAAAGATAGTCTCTTTTTATATAATTTCGTTTTTTTTCTCATTCTTTTCGATTTGTTTGTGTTTTGTCGAAAATTCCCAGAGCTCTTCACATGATTCGTTGGAATCGAATGCCAAAATTTTTGGAAATAAACGAAACAGCTAGACAACTACAAAAAAAATGTTACTTAACGATTGAAATTTGCAAAAAATCAATCAACAAGAAGACAGAAACAAAATCGCTCGAAAAAACTACACAAAAAAAAAATATTTATAAATGAAAATAAAAATAAAAATAACAAACAAAAGAAGATAAGATATTTATATCAAGTCAACTCACTAAAAATACATTGAAATAAGTGAATCTGATCAACTACTGTAAACCAAACAAAGAAAAAAAAAGAATGACACGAAAGAGATGGTTGAAAATTTGTGCTAGATTTTTCGTGCTTAGCGCTTATTTGATTGTTTAACGATTCTTTTTTTCCTGTCAGTTAATGAAAAAAAATATAAATGAATAAAATAACCCAAGTGATGGACTGAACCTAAACTAAATATTAAAGACACCTTTTTTTAATTGTTTGAGTCAGCTCAGATGCTCACCTTTGTTATTCTTTTTTTTTATTTTCTCGCACGTTCTATAATGTAATTCGACTCAAAACAGCCTAGATACATTTCTCTCGAATTTTGGGGATAAACTTTAAGTTATAAGAAATAAAACTGCATTTATTAAATTTTCTATCAAGGCCTTGATTTGTCAGATTTGTCATTGTTGTAATCAAAAACGGCGACTCGAACAAAAACCAACAGCGAAAATAGATTGTTTCTACGAAATCCAATATATTATCCACTTCTTAAAACTCACGTAACTACAAAATAAAAGCAAATCTCACTTTCGTCGTTTTTGACAATCGAAAAAAATTTCACATTTTAAAAATCGGTCAACTATGGGATGTTGGCATTTCCAAACCCACGAAGTTATTCATTTGAGTAGTATATTATTCGATCAATGGGCTTACACTTGACAATATCTGAGGTGGTTCGGTTTTTATCCTCAAAGAAATGGAATAACCTGTGGATGTTGCCATATGGCAATGCTAGGCTGATTGGAGTTAATGAATCGAATATCAAAGCGTAATTTAACGGGCAGAACGATTGTTGGAATTGAGCATGGGCAATGATTAAATGGTCATATATATGAAAAACGAAGCATAATGAATCGATGGATTCAAAACCTAAAATAATAGACAGGCGAATTTTTTTCCTCTTGAAAACTTCATGTTTTTTTGCTAATTTTTTTTTTTACATTGTAATCCAGTTTTATAGGTTCGATTAAATTCGTTTGTATTCATTTAAATGAAATGTAAATGAAAAAAATAAATTTAATGTAAAGGGGTGGCCAAGAGCCATTTTGTGGAACATAATTGGCCCTGGTGAAGCTTGTTATAACCGAAATAAAAACAAAACAAGAAGAAGAAGAAAAATAACAGAAATGCCAATTTTTGTGTTCGCTCGATGAATGTTTTTATTCAGTCAAACAAAGTGCTGAAATCGAATATTGAAATCAATAAAAAATCAAAATGTTTTTCTGAGCAAACGAAAGCATCCAAAAATGGGTTCATCAATGTTTATTTTTTTTTCATTTAATTATTCCCATTCTATGGCCGAAATATTTCTCGTCGAAATAAAACAAAGCGCATACATTTTTGAATATATCTGTGATTTGTCGCGTTTTTTGTTTACAAAGCAACGCTATCTCAAAGCAGTGAAAAAAATTTTTGGATTTCAAATTCCACAACCAATTATTATTATTATCAATATCAACGCGATTTCTTCCTGCTACCAATTTTGCTGAATTTTGTTTTTCCAATTGTTTATTTTATAAAAAAAAATTGATAAATACTTGCTATATTGATAAGTGAGAGTATTGTGATAACAATTTTCGCTAAATAGCATGACATTTGTGTAATTTGGCTCGCAAATAACTCAGCTCTCATCAATGTCTCTTATCATCAATTCGAACATTTCAACGAACTAACTTTTTCCTATTTATTGCCTTGATTACCGAACAAAAATCAAACGAATCGAATAAAAATTGAAAGAATTTATTAACAAAATGAAACAACATTGTAAAGAATTGAATGAATGCAATAAAAAGCGACCTAAAACCGAAAACAATTGTTTCTTGGGACAGCTGAATTGTTAATGCAAATACATCCATTACCAAGCGTATGTAAACGGTCGAATTAAGGCCCGCATTTGTGTGTAGTTTCAGTCATTTTTAACGTCACGATGGAAGAAGAAAAAAACGGTAAAAACAAATCAATTAGAAGGATATAAAAACGATTATGAATCAATTGATAACAAAATAACAAATCACGTGTGATATTAGGGTGAACATTTAAAGTAAAATTTGGGGGTAATTTGACTACAGTTACTAAGAATTTCAACGTCATAAATGAACCCACGTCGAGTATCATCCAACTTTACGCTTCACTTGAACTAGGTCCATTTATAACTTTGGTAAATATTGGTGTGGATATTGAAATTGACCAACTGACTGAGAAAATCTTACATACAAAAACTTACCTACGGGTTTAACCCGTATTACATTCTTCGCCGCACAGATGTCACGATGCCAAGTAACAGTAGAAGCGTTCTGATCATTCATTGGGCTTGAGTGCCAGTTTTTCTGAAAGAATATTTTCTTTGACCCCAATGACCCAAATCCTGTATCATTTGCATCGAAATGTATTCGCTGCCATGATTGTGGTTTGGCCTTACGATTTTTGACACGAATCTTGCAAATACTTATGTCACCAATTTTCACAAAACCTGGCGAATCGGATTCCGCTTCCGGTTGTTTGGTTACTTTACGGCTGCGATGGCCTGCAACTCGACGTCATTGACGTAGTTCACGCCGTCGTATGCGTCGATTGTACCGTCTCACTGCCTGTTCGGTATCCAATTGCTCTGGATTGTGGCTTTCACGCTCACTTCGACGCTTTTCCCGGTGCTTCCCAGCTCTTTCGGCTCTAGTTACATTTGCTGTTGGCTGTTGGCTGGCATTTTGTTTTCGATCACGTTGCTTGCGCCGTCTGCTTTGATCAGTCACGATAAGCGATGGGAGTCTCACATCCTTGTGTGGGCGAAAATCTTTGCATACTTTGAATCGGTCACTTGTTGTGCTTCTTGGAAATCGCCGCAAGCAATTGGCACAGGTTTGTGATGTATACGGCTCTGGTGTAAGCACAACATCCGTTTTGCCGTCCTTTTTTAGGCTAACTATAAACTTTCGCTGATCCGGTGTTCGTTTTGTTCTTTTCACACCGATTTTCGAATTTGATGGGAACGCCGCATCACCAAGGAACACAACTCCTGTCTCATTCTTTATTATGTGTTGAGCCATCAAATCCATTTCGCGATTAGACTCGATGTACTTGTGCAACGATAGCTGTGCGTATTTTCTTCTGGCGTATGTAGCCAATGAATCTGTCGCACGCAGGCCATTTTTGTTTTCTGGCCGGGATCAATTCCTGATTCATACTTGTAACCGCCTTTGCTGACTGGCTTTTCGTACTTTTCCTTGATTTGTTCCAGAGTCACGCCGGCTCCTTTGCGTTTGGGTCTGCTAAACAACACCGACACGGCACTACTGTTGGTTTGAATTTTGTGGTAAAACTCTTTCGAACCGGTTCTGAGCTGTCTGATTTTGTCCATATCGAACACAATTCCCCATGCCTCGTCTTTGTTCTCGCCTTGCTTGTCGTATGTATGATAATCAGCACGAATATTCCATCCCCGTTATTTTCTCAACTGGCCAATGATAGCAATCAAATCATGATGGTCGAATGGTATGTGCTTCAGTTTTGTATCACAGAGTGGAATAGCGGCGAAATTCTTCACTTTTGGTATCTTCGGTACCGACGGCTCTCGATTGTTCACTGGATCACGATCGTATGCTTACCACTGTTGACGAAGGTGACTATACTACTCGTATCGATCAAAATTTCTCGATAATGCGTTAAATGCCTATCCACATCCACAAAGACTCGGACCAGTCCTTTTGAATGTATTCGTACATTGTGAAGTTTTTTACGAATGATGGGCCACAAAGCTCAGACACTTCCTTAAACAGTATATCCATCTTCGACTTTCGACTTTTATCATCATCATCATATGTCCAATCTTCATTGTATTGGGTCTGGGAATTAATCGTGTCGATTTTTCAAAAGATGGCGTAACTTTGCATGGTTGTATCGGGCAATACTTTTTTCTTTTTCACATGAGTGGTCTAGTGTCAAACTACAAAAATCATCATCTATCATTTCATCGAAGTTTGGATAAACATTTTTTTTGCGCCTTAAATATGTCAAATTTTGTACCGAAAAAGCAACATTTCCCGCAAGCATTAATTTTTTGCTTTCATTTGAAGAAAACTGCGGCTGAAGCGCATCGAATGTTGGTGGAAGCCTATGGTGAGCATGCTCCATCGGAACGTACATGTGAACGGTGGTTTTCACGGTTCAAAAGTGGTGATTTTAGCACGGAAGACAAGGAACGTCCCGGCCAGCCAAAAAAGTTTGAAGATGCGGAATTGGAGGCATTGCTCGATGAAGATTCGAGTCAAACTCAAGATGAGCTTGCCAGAGCATTGAATGTTGACCGAAGCACTGTTGGATATCGTTTAAGGGCCCTTGGTTTCATTCGCAAGTTGTCAAATTGGGTACCACATGAATTGACGCCAGCGAAAGCTGAAAGGCGTTTAGTGACTTGCGAAATGCTGCTCGCAAGGCACAAAAAAAGAGGTTTTCTGTATCGAATTGTCACTGGTGACGAAAAATGGATTCATTACGATAACCCCAAGCGCAAAGCATCGTATGTTAAGCCCGGCCAACCAGCAACATCACAGCCAAAACAAGAAATTCACGGCGACAAGGTAATGCTGTCTATTTGGTGGGATGAGGAGGGAGTGGTGTATTATGAGCTGCTGAGAAGTGGTCAAACCATCGATGGGCCTTTCTACCGACAACAACTGATACGTTTGAAACAAGCAATCAAAGAAAAACGCACGAAATGGGAGACCAGAAAAGAGACATTGATTTTCCTACATGACAATGCTCGGCCACACATTGAGAAATCGGTCAAAAACTACTTGGAAAATAGCGGATGGGAAGTTTTGGCTCACGCCCCGTATAGCCCAGACCTGGCTCCTTCCGACTACCATTTGTTTCGATCGATGCAAAACCATATGGACGGAGAGCGGTTCTCTTCAGTTGAAGAAATCCAAAATTGGCTCGATGCATTTATAGTCTCAAAAGATGAGGAATTTTTTAAGGCAGGCATCCGTCAATTGCCCACATTGTGGCAGAAGGTCATCGCTTCCGATGGACAATATTTTGATTGAAATGTAATTTCATTTTGGTATTCAAATAAATGTTTGAAAATTTAAAAAAATCGACAAAACTAATTCCCAGACCCAATACATCAAATTTTTCATCGTATTTCGAATGTCAATGTCATCGAAAGGCAAGTATGATGCATTATAAATAACCTCAAGTGAGCTTCCTTTGTGATTGAATTCATGGCACTTTACATGTAGAAAGTAGGTCAATCTCACCCAACAGTACGTCTCCAAATTTGTCTTCACATTGGCCACATACTGGTCCTTGAGAGCATGAACTTGACGGGTCATTTGATGGCGGCGTGGCCATTCAAAGTTGGGGCTACCTTGTGTCACCATCGCGAGAAATGGGTCTGGCATTTGGGCTGTGAGTGGATCTTTGATGTTGTCCGATGTGACACAGTTGAAACAGTCTGTAATCAAATTTGCTCCATTTTGATTCACGAAGAAGTCCAAATTGTCATCATCAAATGCTTCGTTGATTCTGTAGAGCATTAACATCGATGCAAGATGCATGACTTTCGTAGCATTCAAACATTTCTCGAAGAACTTATGGATCAGAAATCCTCTTTCTGTTTCTGTTAAGTTCGGATTAATTATCGAATTAAATGCCAATTTGATCGCGCCGATTTCGATTGTGCCATTTTCTGTCGACTGTTTTGTTGAATCTTCTTTCCGATTGTCACGTTTTTTCTTCACAATGGAGTGCTTTATCATCTGCACTTTGTTCTCCCTTGGCCTACCAAACGTCTTATTGTGCCGCTTACGCCTCGCCATCGCGATGGATCCAAACGAGAGAAAATAAATTGTAGAACGAATGAAATGTTTGTTGCAAGCGATTGTGAAATTGGCTAACGCTACGGAAATCGAAAACAATGCACTGATTGATCGCTTTAAACGAATACGATAACAATGTGATGATATACATCAGTCCGTCGCCATAAATCATGTCGAAACATGTACACCCAATGGGCAATTTGCTGGCTTAGCTTTTTTAGACCAAATAATGTGAAGCATTAGGCTCATTTTGTGTCAAATCGTACTAAACCTAAATTGGGCCAAAATATATACCCAAAATGAGTGAAATCATCGACATATTTTGGGTCAAATAAAATTATCGAATTGTGTATAATAACGTAGATGCAAAATAGATCAAAATAATATATAGGCCCAATTTGGAGCAACGTTTTACCCTAAATTGGGTCAACATTTACACTCTGCTTCGGTCAAAAATGCGTCACACTTTTAAGCAGAATTTGGGTCTAAATAGCGTTACAATTTGCCCATTGGGCACCACACGCAAAAACATGATTTTACGCTAATTTGTTGCAATTTTCTACGTTCACTAAACTCACCTCGGTCACAATAAGTCCACTTCGTATGAATCCAAACGATTTGAATAGATCAGGCTTCGTTTGCTCTCTGTCTCCCTGTCTCAATGCAGATCTCGCCTCAAAATTGCGAAATAATCTTTGGAAAAAAAAACCACAATCCATTAATTGTAATTGGTAACAAAAAAAATGGGAAAACTTGTTGTCATGAAAATGTGAACCGGTATGACGAAACAACAATTTCACAACAATTTCCAAAATAATCCACAATTTAATTTGTGCAAAAACTCTATTCTTAGCCGTACATACCTGTAAAAGGGTTTTGGTCTCGCAATTAAAGCAACTATTTCGCAAAAAAAGTTGCCTTTTCTCGTTGAATGTTCACTCAAAAAAATGTGCGCCAATTTCTTGTCAATGTTCCTACACCAATGAGCCGCTGTGCTGAGTGACATTTGCAAAACGAATCGTTCGGCGTCAATGTTTTATCCTTTAAACACCACATTTGCATGGCGTGACGGTTGCTGCGCCAAAACTGCTGTTTTACGAATTGGAGACAGAAAGGGAAATCTCCAAAGAGAAGCAAAATGTTTTTGCTTCGACAGTTTTTTACACGAATATATAAACAAAAAAAATGGAATGGACCATTTTCAATGCATTTTTCTTGGACAAAATGAGAAGAAGTTCCAATGACATCATAAACAAAATGATTATTATATCGTGCATATTTCTAGAGCTAATGAATAGTTTGAAGATTTCAAGTGACATTCACAATTGAAAATGTTGCACAACGGTTCTGATTTCTCAATTGATTCAAAGATGAAAACGATCAAATCTGTTGTACATATATAATTCTCAGTCAGTCAGTCAGTTTTCACACCCATTATTACCGTCAAAAATGGATGTGATTCGAGTGTAGCGTACAGTTGGATGATACCCGAATTTCATCCGATTCGGACGGAATTGTATGTGAATTAATGGTCAAATGCACCACTGAAGTGGGCAAAAGCATTACTTAATTTAACGGTAGAAAGCATTACATAAATGTTACTTGGGGTATTTTCATTTCGAAATCATTGGCCATCGATGGTGTCTAGCTTTGCTGCCATTTTATTACGCGCATTTGTCACTAACGAAATGAGGTAAGAATTCGAAAGGTAATTTTGGCCACGCCACACGATGCGATGAGTTTAACGACGGTATTTAAACATCTGGTATATTTATTGACTTACAATGTGAACACGTCAACCCGTCTTGCATTTTGAAAACAGACAAAAAAAACCAAAACAATGAGCGCATACTCACCTATTTTTATTTTCGTCACATCTCGAAATCAGTTCAGTTTTTTTCAATATATAGCAATTTAGAATCGGTAGCAGATCAACTCCCATGGCAGACGTTGTAGAACCCAAACACAAGTCAATTTTCGGCAAGAAAAAGACGAGCTAAGACCAGTTAAAAAAGAAAACCAGTTGCCGATCTTATTTCATGCAATCAATTTCTTTTATTTTATGTATGTTTCGAGTAATAATTAAATATCTCTTGGGTGGTTTTTTTTTTGTTTATTTTTATAATGATTTTTTATTCATTAAAAAATGCGGATTTTTTGAAAACAATGTTACCATGTGGGGATTCCTACTTTTTAAATAGATTTCATTTTTTATTTTATCTAAAAAAATAAAACGTTGTTGTTTCAATTCATTCTTTTAATTGGGTGCTTGAATGTGTTGTATATAAAAATAAAAGTTTTTTTTTGTTTCTTTTTCTCTTTATTTCAATACGGAATGAAGTGTAGCTCGTATTCTTTTCGTCGGAATTCTTTGCGATGGAAGAAGTAATAACATTTTTTCAAAAACCACGTTGATGTTAAAAGAATTGATGTGAAGCTGTTAGGTTGCTATTTTTTGCCCTTGGTGGCTTTTTCGGCGGCCTTGGTGACTTTACCACCTGTTGCATCCTTGAAGTTGACGGCCTGCATGAATGAAAGGAAAAAAAAGAGGAAAGAACAGATTAGTCATATGCTTCTGACTGCATTTGCATTGAATGCAATTCAATCAAACAGTTGGGCAAAATTGAAATGTTCGACAAGAATAGAAGTTTTTTTTTTATTCTTTGAGATTAAAACTTGTCAATTGATTTTGTGAAATGAATGTCAGTGCATTTTGGTATTTAGATCTCTACATCTTGATCTTCAGTAGCAGAACTGGGATGAATATCATCATTAAATTCATTCATGAACTGTTTTTCAAAAACAAAAATGTGGTAAAAAATGAAAATTCTGCTTACCTTGATGACACCGACAGCAACAGTTTGTCTCATGTCACGCACAGCGAAACGACCCAAAGGTGGGAATTCTTGGAAAGATTCGACACACAATGGTTTGGTTGGGACGAGGTTGACGATAGCAGCATCACCAGATTTGATGGCTTTTGGATTTTCTTCGGTGGTCTTACCCGAACGACGGTCAACCTTTTCTTTGATTTCAGCGAATTTGCAGGCAATGTGAGCGGTGTGACAATCCAAAACTGGAGTGTAACCGTTCGAGATTTGACCTGGATGGTTAAGGACGATGACTTGAGCAGTGAAGTCAGCAGCACCCTTTGGTGGGTTTGATTTTGAGTCACCGGCAACGTAACCACGACGCAATTCCTTGACTGAGACGTTCTTGACGTTGAAACCAACGTTGTCACCTGGGACAGCTTCTGGCAAAGCTTCGTGGTGCATTTCAACGGACTTGACTTCAGTGGTGATGTTGGCTGGGGCGAAGACAACAACCATACCTGTTTGCAAGAGAAGGGAAAGAGTGAAAAAAAAACACGAAGTGATTAATATCAGTGTGAAAAGAAATTGGCACTGCAAGAAGGAGAACCGAACAATTTATGAAAAGGAATGACATTTACCTGGTTTCAAGACGCCTGTTTCTACTCGGCCTACGGGCACTGTTCCGATACCGCCAATTTTGTAGACATCTTGCAATGGCAAACGCAAAGCCTTGTCGGTTGGACGTGATGGTGGGAGGATGGCGTCCAAAGCTTCGATCAAGCACTTGCCATCAGCGTTACCATCTTTACGTTCGACCTTCCATCCCTTGAACCATGGCATGTTGGTTGATGGTTCCAACATGTTGTCTCCGTGCCATCCTGAGATTGGAACGAAAGCAACGGCGGCTGGGTTGTAACCGATTTTCTTAATGTAGGAAGAGACTTCCTTCTTGATTTCCTCATAACGGGATTCGCTGAATGGTGGTTCGGTCGAGTCCATTTTGTTGACACCGACAATCAATTGTTTCACACCCAATGTGAAAGCAAGCAAAGCGTGCTCACGGGTTTGTCCGTTCTTTGAGATACCAGCTTCGAATTCACCGGTACCAGCAGCAACGATCAAGACAGCGCAATCGGCTTGTGATGTTCCAGTGATCATGTTCTTGATGAAATCACGATGGCCTGGGGCATCGATGATGGTGACGTAGTATTTGGCCGTTTCGAATTTCCACAAGGCAATATCGATGGTGATACCACGTTCACGTTCGGCCTTAAGTTTGTCCAAAACCCAGGCGTATTTGAAGGAACCTTTACCCATTTCTTGGGCTTCCTTCTCGAACTTTTCAATCGTACGTTTGTCAATACCACCGCATTTGTAGATCAAATGACCAGTGGTGGTTGATTTACCAGAGTCGACGTGTCCAATGACGACAATGTTAATATGGACCTTTTCTTTACCCATCGTGAACTATTTGTGTGGTTGCGATAGAAAAAATGAAACAGAACAAAAATTTGAAATTAGTTACCTGTGCCTTGAATGTTTGAAATTTGAAAATTGTCAATTGATTTTGCGAAGTGAATCTCAGTGGGTTTTGGTATTTAGCTCTCTACATATTTATCTTCAGTAGCAGAACTGGGATGAATATCATCATAAAATTCATTTATGAACGTTTTTCACAAAATAAAACATTCATACAGTCGCAAAATCAACCGAGCAATTTCTATTTAAATGGATTCACAATACTTTGCTTAAGTGACTAATTCAAGTGTGAAAATAACGCTGTGAAACGGTTATGCACGTGTTAAATGACCACCTCTTTTTAGGTTAGGAAATGTGGCCACGCAAATATTATCGTCGCACAACGAAGAAGTAGTGATTGGAAATGAAAGAAGAGAAGAGAGAAATGAATACTGCAAACGTTGCAGTCGATTCGATCAAGCAAAACCATGACAAGCGCTTATTACCACCACAATCCAGTTAATTTGATTTAAAGTAAGCGGCCTTTAGTCGGCCAGTCTGTGCGCAGTCGATTGAGAAAAAAAGAATTTTTGTATAATTTAAAATAATATCTTCTTGCTCCACACGTGCATACATACGCAAAGCGGAACTCTCTCCACACTCATACAAACACACACGCACACATTCAATTTGGAGCTTTCGAGAATGTCAGCGGTCGTCGATAATGATTGCAAATAAAATATGTGATGATATATTTGCACAATGCTGACTCACCACGCGATATTGCTTCGGAAAAATATCGTTATCATATTTTCTTTCTATCTTTTTTGTGCGTGATTTCGCTTATATAATTAAACGACAACGAAGACAAGAATTGCGGTGTGTGAATTGTGCGAGAGAATGGCGTGTTTATTCAATATGGCGGCTGGTGTGTCGCTATTTCATATGGCAATGTGCTTTAATTTCGTTGAAATAATCATCGCGCAACGCGACAGCGATAAAGAGAGATATGATGAAATTCGAAAAACCGGTGCTGAAATACGATTAAAAACGCCGTCGCGAGAAAAAAAAGCTTTGAATGTATTGGATGCCGCTAATGTGTGAGTACGTATATGTTTGCCACTGGAAACAAAGAGAGTTGTTCAATCGGTGTGTCGGCCATTTTGAAAAAAAAGAGATTTAGAACGGAGTGTGAATATGCACGGTGTGTGAGCAATCGAACTCGTCAACTGAGTGAGGTTAATTTCATATGTTGAAATTGAAATGTGAAAATCAATTGGCATCGAATTTAGCCGTGTGATTGCATGGAAAAATGCAATTTAACGCGATTGCCCATAAAATGGCATCAATGGAAGCTAATATTTTTAATGCAAACATTTGGAATTTCGTAAAATTTATCCGGCCGGTAGTCAAAACCACGTGTCGTCTTCCATTGAACACACAACGCTAAATTTTTATTGCCATAAAATTCGAAAAAAATTTGCAAACGCCTTCGTTTCAATCATGTTGCAATTGATTTCGTTGCAAAGTTGGGAAAATTAAAACTAAAAACCAAATTTCCGCTGTTCAATGAATCAACTCGTCGTTTCAAATACATCCAGTTGCCACGTGCAATTTTTAGACACACTCGCACCGTTTGACGAAAATTTAGAGAATTTACCGGAAATATCTCGATAAAATGCAATACAAATGCGTTCAATTAAATAACAAATGTTTAAAATAAACAAAAAATAGTTGAAATTTAAACAAAATATGGTTAAATTGAATTAATAATCTTAAGCACTTTTTGTGAAAACAAAAAAAAATAATAGTTGAGTCTTTAAATCTTATCCAATGAGCACTTACTTAGTAGAATATTTCAAGAGCGAACACAAATTATGTCTATACTCGTGTACTGACCCGAACAAAGTGAACGAGTCTAGCGAGCAAAATTTCCATTGTGGCCTGCGTTGCCACCAACACCACGACACCATTACGCACACATCGCACATATCGTCCAGTTAATGTTCTTCCGCTTTCGCATGGAACGGTTGGTAACCGTGCATGAAACAATGCTATTTTTGCCGACTACTATACCTGTATTGGAGCCCAGCGCATGGATGTATTGGTAAAAATAAAACGAAGCGAATAAAAAAAAAACTCTAATGGAACCATGTTTTTTTTTGCTTTGTTTGCTAAGAAACAATTGTTGCATTCAACAAACGAATGCTAGATTGAATAAAAATCCAAATTGCCCGTTGATCCATTTATTGGGCAATATGAAAGATTTCAAGAGATCGAACCCGATTTTCTCACACAACATGCTAAGGCAAAAATTGCTCAACAAATTTCGTTTAATGTGCAAAATAAGCTGAAAAAATAGCCGATGCGGCTTTTTTTCTCATTCGTATTAATTATCGCCTTTAGATATGTGGTATGCATTGCAAACGGAAGCACAAAAACAGTTGAAAAAATGTGCCATAGCATATGAAATATATTTCATTTTGCATCATGTTTTCTAGAAACCAAAACTGTTGATTCAATTTAATTTTCCCAAATTGAGTTGTCAATATATTTATAGATATATGTTATACATTCTCTATATGCATGGCATTCACCTCGCACACATTTGCACAAGACTTCTGCTTAAAGGTTGCCAAACTTGAAAAAATGAATAATCTCGAATCTCGATCTCTCTCACACTATTTCTCTCTCTGCTCATTTTTCTCCATACGCCTTTCACACATATACGTATTTGGAAGAATACAGTCTTTCGTTTCGTACACAGCATCACACATTTCGTCATACAGATAGAGAGTGGCCCGTCCGTGCGGGCAAAATCGCCAGGCGGCAGCACCGATGAATGTTCATACCAAACAATTTACTGTGTAGTGACAGCACTGTCAAACGTCTAATTGTTGAAATCGAATAACTTGTTATGTTTACGTATATTCCGTGCAATTAGAAATCACAGTACGTTTCGAGCATTTATCTGGCGAATATTCACTGGAGACGCTGGAAAAAAGTTGTATTACACCTGTGTGATTGGGCACAAAACCGTATCCCATTCGAATTACCGTGCGAGAAAGTTCATTTTGTATGTATCCGAATCAATATCCGACATAAAGCATCAATAACAACAATGTCGAATCCAGAAGTAACACAAGTGATGTCCTTGCCTTTACCACCGGCACAGTATTTTAATTTATATACCGATGAAAATATTCGCAAGAATCGAGCACCAAAGCCACCACAACCAATCATCGACACGTATCAAATGTTCGGCAATACATTCAACAATGAAGAGATGATCCGGTCGCTTGAGTCGCAAGGCATTCGCCGTCTGATACCACAACATTTTGATCGACGCAAAGAACTTAAGAAGCTAAATCATTCACTGTTTGCCAATTTCCTCGATTTGATCGATTTGCTCATTCATTATCCCGACAGTCCAAAGCGTACGGAGAAAATCGAAGATTTGAGTTTGCTATTTGTGCATATACATCATTTGCTGAACGAATTTCGGCCGCATCAAGCACGTGAAACACTGCGCGTTCTCATGGAAGTACAGAAACGAACACGAATCGAGACGGCAATGCGATTCCAGAAGCATTTGGAAAAAGTTCGTGAATTGGTTCGCAATGCATTCGCCCAATTGCCCGATATCACCGAAACCGAAAGTAAAATAGCCGACATTATAGCTGGAATCAATGAGCTACCGCCACCAAGCACCAATGAAACAACCGCCGAACACTGTGACCCCATGGATCGATTAATGTGCGATATTGTTGATAATATGTAGATGATCCTTCGACTGTATATGAATGTAGCGGTTATATCCGCATCTTTTTACTCATAATAGCAAATAAACAAAAACGAGTTTTTAATTAAAAAAAAATTATATCAACATTTAGACTAATGAATTTCTCATTTTTATTTGTGATTTTCTGTGTTTTCTCTCAAAATATACATTTCTTTAGCTTAACTTTTTATATATTATAGATTTAGATGTCAATTCAGTCCATATGCCTTCTAGTCTATAGAGCTTTTTGACTTGCCCAATGAGACTAGCTGCCGTTTTCGTGGCACCTCATTTGCCACACCGCCCCATCGTGATGGTGGCCACACAATACACGTGGCTCGGGCTGTCATTAGACCCAATGAAACTGGACCAAATGTATTGCTGTCTAATGAATAACCCGTGTGGTCTCCTTCAACCCAACAATGGCCGGGAGGAACTTTAACATATGGTTTTTTATAGCCTATCGTTGGTACGATATCACCTGTGGATGAAATAAATTCATTTTATGAAATCATTGTTGAAGATGTGACACAAAATCAAGTTGAAATGTTGCAATTGATAGAGAAAATAAATTCATTTTATGATATTACCTTGTAGTCCAACAATTCGTTTGATCAGTTTTTGACTGGGGTCCTTTGGTGAGGTCAATGAAATAATATCTCCGCGTTGTACATACATATCTCGTACGGCCCATTTTGACAAAAACACATAATCTTCGGATCCTGAGTTTGGATTCAGCGCAGGTTGCATTGATGTGCCTAAATATCGCCAAAATCAAACACACAACAATCATGATTTCTCTCAACTGATTTCTATATGGTCCCAATACATCTTTCACAGATCTACTTACCATCTACACGAGCAATATATCCAACGCTATCAACGAATGTTACCATAACAGGCAGGCTTAATGCGACCGTTTTTAAAATATATTGCATTTTCTAATAAATATGTATGCCTACTAAAAATCAACTCAATAACATGGTCTTAGAAAATTGGATTTTCATGTCACTTATCACAAATGGCAAGGAGTTACACAAAAATGAATCGGATGGTTTTCTTCTCAGCAGAAAACAAGGTTATGTCACTACTTTTCGGTAATTTGTCAATTTACTTGTCACTTTGTTTACGGTAAATATCTCAAACAAACAAAAAGTCTCTACTGGCTGGTGTTTGATGTTGAATTTTTTCTGTGGGGCTTTACGTACATTCATTTCAAATAATTATTGAAAGTTCACCGTTGCAATGGATGTGACCGTCAACAGTAAGTAGAAAAAAGCATGGTTCAAATGGATTTGAAGCGAAAGAAACGTGTTCAAAAAGAAATTCAACCAAACTTAACCTAATGTATAACCACTATACACTCATTTGCTTGGATTTGGTTTTGATTTTCACAGATTTTAAGGAAATTCTCGATGAGTTCAATGAAGTGATCGAAAAAGCCGCATTTTTTTCGATCGATTCTGAATTCACTGGGTTATATAATGAGCGAACACTGCCATTTGCCACACCGTCCGAATTTTACAAGAAATTACACGGCGGTACCGATGACTACATTATAATTCAGCTCGGCATCACCGCATTCTATATTAGCGAAGGTGAACCAATTTTGAATACTTCTTTGATTTGTTCGAAAAGTCTAACTAAAAACAATAATTCCTAATGTCATTCAACAGATAAATCGGACACATTCACGTACAAAAGTTACAATTTCTATGTATTCCCGCAAAATCGTGATCAAATATTCAAGTGCTCCGGGTCGAGCCTAAGTTTTTTGGCCGAACAAAAGTTTGATTTCAATAAATTGTTCCGTGAAGGTGTGTCGTGCTGCACACAAGATGTGGCGTTACAATTGCGCGCCAAGTATGACGAACGACAGAAAGCCCGCGAAGAAGCGCTCGAGGTACGCGATGAAAAACCGGCCAATTTCGATGAAGTACCAGTGCCACACGAGGAATTGGACAAGCTAAATGAAGTCAAGTATGTTAACAAAGTCATTTCCATAGCAACGAACTCACACAAATATTCTTAAATTCACATTGAATAGGTGTAAAATACAGAAATTCCTAGAAGCCGGTGAAAAGGATAGCGAGAACAATGTGGTTTTTGGAAATTGCAATGCCTTCCAACGAAAGTTGATCTATCAGGTAATCCAAAAGGAATTTTATGACGAGGTAACAGCCACCAGTCAGACAGTAAACAATCAAAAGGTCATTGTCATCGAACGAAAATGGTCTACGGAACGTCAACAGCAAGGAGTCGATCAGCAAAACGAAGAAGACGAAGCTGAATATCGGCGATTAGTTGGGCTATCAGCCTTACTGTTGAAAATATCAAAATCGGTGAGTGAATTGCACTCGTTTATCATTTAAACTTGAAAATTGAACAAATATGGGTTATTTTTAATATGAATCATCCTCTTTTGATGTTGATTTGTTTTTGTTCTCCAACAGAAAAAACCAATCGTTGGCCACAACATGTTCATGGACTTGTTCTACTTGATTCGCCAATTTTTCGAGCCGTTGGCTGAAACGTTGAAATCATTTAAGAAACAAGCACACAAAATATTCCCCAAGTGAGTCCATTTCAAAAACGAATTTACCAAACACGTTGACAGTTGTCAGTTGTCGGTTTTCTTCTTTGTCTTTCGCAGCATTTTCGACACCAAGCACATTTGCAATCAAAAGTTCCGCAACGAAATTTCCAACTCCACATTGAAAAATCTCTATGATGCAGTTTTGCAGGCACCGTTTAAACTGCCACAAATTGGTGAGTGATTTGTTGAAGAGAGAAGTTTTAGTGTTTGTTTTATAGGTTAAGCTAACCATTTTTGCGTTGATTTCAATGTAAAGAACCGGCATCGCCCGAGTACGGATACACCGAAACAAACTCGAAACAGCACGAGGCTGGCTACGACAGCTACATGACGGGCGTGTGCTTCCTCGGACTTGCCAGAAAGCTCAACGTTAACAATGCAGACATTTCATCAAAATCAGCACAACTTCGTCCATTGCTCAACAAGTAAGTAGAACAAATATTCAAAGAACTCACTATTTTCCTAAACCAACGGCGAGAGACAACTCATTTACAATTATGTTTTCTTCTCCCAGAATATTCGTGATGAGATTAACCGACATTTATTACATTGATCTGACCGGCACCGAACGTAAGTCCCGCTGCTGATTCGACATACAAAGAAACTGAGTTTTTTTCGGTTGACATTAGCGTTGTCTGTCTGTGATCATTTTTTTTTTGTTAATCTTACCAATAAAAGATATGCCAGGCAATTTTCAAATAGATATTATTTAGTTTCGAATTCCAATGTTTTTATTTGTATGTTTTTTTTTAAAATACATATGTAGCGAAACCAAATCGTGAACACGTCTTTCATGTAACGTTCCCGGAAACGTGGGCACAGACTGATATCATAAATCATTTCCGTAAATTTGGGCCCGTGTTTATCAGATGGATCGATAACACAAGTGCATTTGTATCGCTTATGAATCGAGAAAATGCACCCATTCTATTGAAATCGATCACCGCTACAAAAGGCGTCAAAATTTCCACTTTCGCGATGTACCTCCGAGCCACCGGTGCCGATAAAGAGGTATGTGAAAGCAATGCAATACACTATTTTGATTTAATTTTGAAACACATTTTTATTTTAACTTTTTTGCCAAAATTTCAGGACGAAACAGAAGACGGGGAAGCAGAAGGTTCAGCGGCCAAAAAGCGGCCGTCATGTGTCGATACAACACATAATCAAAGGTGGAATATCTATTTGGTTATATTGGCAGTTGTTCTGGTCATATTATTTTTCATAGTACCTGACTTTATCGTATTGTTTTATATGGGAGCTGTTACAGCAACTCCGTAGACACGCTCAAAATCTCATGTATTAGTTTCGAATATTTGTAGACATTTTTTTGCTCTAGACTTTTGAAATTCCTATTCAAATCGAAGATTTTTTTTTTCAATTCTCACATACATACTAGAAATAAAATCGAAATGGTTTTCGTTATAAAACTCCCCCGAAAAAGAAAACATTCATAGAAAATAATCAAAAATAACGATTAATCATCTATATTGTTTTTTCTTTCATTCCATTTTATTTTTTTGTTTTTCTACTCTTTTTTTATGCGTGTGATTCAAAAAATTCCATTTGCAAATGGAAATGACAACATTTGCAGAGCGACGAAATTACCGAAATTGACGGAGACGAAAATTGAGGCCAAACAAACTGAGTTCGTTAAACAAGAAGAGTGGCCAGAAGCGAAATTTTAAAGAAAGAGAGAAAAAACACTACTGTTCTATCATCAGTAATCCATTTATGGACACGGGGTCCACACATACTGGGTCCATAGTAATAAAATTCAAAATCCAACCGAATTTCAATGTTTTCATTTTTATTCATTTCGTTTTCGTTATATATTGGTTTTCATAAAAAAAAATCTATGGAATTTCATTAGTTTATCACAATTAAATTGAATTTGTTCTATGGGCCGCTTGGCGGAGGCGTGGTATAGTCTTTGTTGTGAGGAATACAGGCAGCTGCACGGTCTTTTGGAATGACCTTCTTTCCGAATTCAATGAATTTTTCCAGCGGACAGAAGTGCTCACAACCTGGAATGGTCAATGGAGTGGCACCGCTGGTTGCACTATTGCGCAAGTACATCTGAACGCCAAGCTCACCGGATTTTTTGTCACGCACCAGTTCAAACAGTGCCATAATGCCATAGGCTGGAAATTGCTTTTCCCATACATTCAAACCAGCCAATATGTTCACCACAGACGAGTCATGGCCTGTGTATAATGAAATTTTCAAATCTTTTGGCTTCAATTTACCGTCCCGTTTATTCTCGAATTCAGTCACCAGCTTTTGAATGAACGGTCCAGCTTTCAGTTGTTTCATTTCATCCGTGTAGATATTGTAAATGTAGCTCAAATCGGTTAGATTTGTGAGTTTATCGGGGTAATATTTTTGTGCCCATTTTGGTAATCGCAGACCATATTCGGTCTCAGCTCGAAGTGTACTGTACAACGATTGGATATCGTCGGGCGTTTTGATTGGCATACCGGTATGTTTTGTGAGTTCTTCAAACAATTGTGCATTTTCTTCCAGTTCTTTCTTTACTTCATCCGAGGCTAACACTTCTTCGACTGCCTCGTGATATCGTGGGCATGGTTTTCGAACCAATAAAAGCTATTGGAAAATAAGAAATTCGATGTGAAATTTCTTTCGTGATTTCGTCAAAGCAAAAGTGAGTTCTAACTTACAGTATCTTCATCGAGTGGTTCCGAAAAGATTGGGATTGGCTGCCAGTTCAAACGGCGATTCCATTCCATAGCCGTTCCTCGAGGTGGAAAAAGTCCGGCCAGAACGACTTGCATCGACATTATTGTACGCGTCACACCTGTTGTTTGAGCCCAAACAGCCTTGAAATTACAAGCATTTCGAAAAAGAAGAACAAATGTGGACATTATATGAAAAGTCAAAATGCTATTGCACTCGATTTAAATATTTAAAATTAAAACTTACATCTGGTTGGTATGTATTGCCCAAGAAATTGCCATATCTTGATCGAAGCCACTGACCCATTTCATAGAGGAAACGTTTACCATCCTGAAACAAAAACAAATGAAATTCCAAAAATCTTTTCGTCGATTGAATCGATTAGAGGTAAAGTGACTCCGATTTTTTGGTCGAGGTATTTGGTGATTTTGCGGTAAGAGACTTTTTATAAATTTATCAGACTATTTTTCACAATTGTAAAATTTCGAGTTTTTGAGAACACTTTCAACTTTTCCGAAGACACTTTTCAGAAATCTCCAACCCGAAAACCGTAAAATAACACAATACAGAGACAAAAAAAAACAGAGGCTGCATATTTGCTGCTGAGCAGGCCTGAGCTGAGCTGAAAT